TGGGGCCCCAGCCCGGAGGGGCTGGCTCGATAGTTTTCTGTTTAGCACTGCTGGGGGAGCTCGGAGGGAGAAAAGGTGGAGCTGCTCGTGTTGGAGCTTTCAACGTTGGTCAAGTTTGTAAAGAAAACTCAAGTGATGCTCCCAGCTTGGAGCCCTGAAGGTGAAACTGCCCCAAGATGCCGGGGCAGGAGCCTGCGATTCCTGGGCCGCAGGGGCTGCTGCCCCCTGGCACCCTCTGTGGCCGCGAGAATTTAAAAATGTGAACTGAAGTCAGCAAAGAATAGTAAATACATTGTTGTCTGGCCTGTGTAGTAGCTGCTCAGGCAAGTAAGTGCTGTAGTTTCCTGACATAACGTTGTGCTACTGTGTCTTTACTGAGCATCTTGACAAAGTATAGAAGGCTGTGGTGCATCTGCTGCTCTAGCACTTTGTAAATAATGTCCTGTACTTGGCATCATGAGGTATTTTTGTGACAATTTAAAGTGTAGGAAGATAAAAGTCTAGCCCAAGTGTATGACCTGAAGATGCCTTACTGATGTTGGCGTTTTCAGCATATGTTAAGACTTGTTTCTTTCTCTCTTTTTAGTCTTTCAACCTTCATTTATCCATATGTCAGGGCCTAGAGTACATTCATTTTTTCTCGGAAATTCTTCAGGAGTTAATTTTTCTGTCATCTCAAGTCCTGTAGCTGAAGAGACAGGTAAGAATGTTCACTTTTTAATTTTTCCCCCTCAAAAAGTGTGTAAATAAATACATTTGAATTTGAGTATTTTTTGCTTTGCCTCTGAAATTACTGGAGAACCAGGAATGCACTTCACATAGTGCTTTAATTGTTACTGAAATAGGAATTCTAAAGGGCTTCTGCTGATTTTAAACCCTTAGTCCTCTGACTCCTTGTCAGCTGGGCCTGAGGGTGTGCCTACTTAAAGGCAGTTTAAATGTGCTTCTAATTTTCTAGTCTTTTCTCAATGACAGTAGAATACTTTTTTTAAATTTACATATAGGAAATTTGCAAGTTGCAAGTTGCAATGGAAGTGCAAGAGCTGGTGATTGGGATTTGAGTGTAACACCAGGCACGGTATGTAAAACAGTGATTCTTCACAATGGGAAGGATTGAACTGTCAGGATGTTAAAAGCTAATGAGGTACTAGTGAAATGTTAATGTACTAACAACCCAATTTGAATGTCCAGCTCTTGCCTCTTCTCCTTGAGGTGTTCCTTTGTGTGGATGCCCTTGCTGGAGCTTGTTGAGGTGCAGCTTGACACTGGTTCCTTGCTGTCCTTCTCTCCAGAATTGTCTCTGGCTGGCTATAGCATTTGAGACTGTTTCAGATCTTCTGGAAGGAGCTATTAGAAATTTAAAAAATAGTAGTTTTATACAGTATGAGCTCTGGAACATCCATTTTATTAGACTTGCCTTCAGTGTTGTGTTACACAAAATTCCTTAGGGGTTTTATCAACTCCATAGCTGTTCCGGTTTTCAATTGAAGGTAGCTTTTTGGTGTTTGTTCTTCTCTTTAGGACTGTGCATGTGATTTTTGAGGTAATTTAATCTGTGTGCATGGCTTAAAAAGTTGTGTGTAGCAAAGCCTTTTTTATTCCACTCTCACCAAATGTCAGATTTTATACAGGTGTCACTGCATTTGAGGTGCTGACAAAACCTAGTGGTCCTGAAGCATCTCTGTCAGAGGCTAGTGAAGGGTATAAGTAAGAGTAATTTAATACAAGCTGTCAAACTTTACTCTGATTTTTTTCCAGAGTGCTTCCAAAGTTACCATAAGCTTGACCAGAAGCCTGGAGCTCTGCTTGCCCAATGCCACTGAGTGCTGCTCAGCACCTCTCTGCCTGCTGGAGACACTTCAGGTTTTAGCCTGTCATGACTCTGTGGTGTTGGCTCATCTCCTGATTCAAGCTGAAATATATGCCAACTCTTCCTTTGCTGGAAATGTGTCAGGTAAGTGTTTAGATATGCTGAAGAAGAAATGGCATTTTGGCTGTGCTTTCCCCTCTGTATATGAGAAAATACAAATTGGGATTTGGTCAGAAGTGAAGAGATACTGAGTAATCATTAATAGAATATAACAAAAGGTGTTAGTGGAATCAACTGCAATGTATGGGGTCTATTTATTTGTATCCCAGTCCATTTAATCTGATCTCTCTTTAAAATTCTTTTACAGAAAATGCCACCATCATCCCAAACCAAGTGTTTCAGCCCTTGGGCTCATGTCCTTGTGACTTGACAGCTGGAGCTTGTGATGTTCGTTGTTGCTGTGATCTGGTACTTAATTCATGTTACACTTGGACCAAATGTTTCAAAGTTTCTAGTCTCTTCCTGTTATCTGGGGAGAGAGGCACTGGATGCCTCAGACTAGATGGGGCTAGAAGGCTTTTCTGGATTTTTCCAGTATTTCTAATAGTAAATATGACCTCTCTCTATGAAATTGGTTTGATTTCCCTGTATATATAGAATCATATAATAGTTTGGGTTGGAAGGGACTTTTAAAGATCATCAATCCAATCTCCTGCAATGAGCAGGGACATCTTCAACAAGATCAGGTTGCTCCCTATGGCTGTAGTGCCTCGGATACTACAATGACTGTGCAAAAAAGTGACTTACTCTCCCTTTCAGGAGTGCACACCAGACCTGAAGCAGTTATTCAATGGATCATGTTTCACTGGAGTCTTTGGTGGGGATGTGAACCCACCTTTTGATCAGCTGTGCACATCTCATTCGATGGAGTATACCCCTGATTGGTTTCCTTTCCTGTGTGTACAGTCCTCTCTTAACAATACACCATTTCTTGGCTACTTTTATCATGGCTCTACGTAAGTGTTAAGATTTGTCTTTTCAATTAGGCATGCTGCCAAAAAGAGAACCTGTTTTTATAATGAAACTTATCTTGAAATTAGAATTCTAGGGTATGAACTTTTAAGTGCAAATGGAGAAATGTGATTGGTACTAGATGAGAACGTGGGACATGAAAGCAAATATGTCATTTGTGTGAGATAAAGATCAAATAATTGTTTTTTAATTTGTTTGCAGTTCTACACCCAGAGTTCCTCCATTTAAGATCCCTTTACAAACTTCTCCTGGGAGACTGTTCACTGGTTATAGACAAGGACATCCAGTTATGACAGAGGAAAATGAATATTTTACTATTCCCCAGGTAATCACTTTGTGTTTAGGAGCTTTTGGGTCATCTTGGTTTGTTTGATACTCTCTCTATGACATCCTCATGGCTTTGTAACCAGACTCTGCAACTTGCCATTGTGAAGTGCTGAAACATATTTTTCACAAAAAAAAAGGAAAAAAAGCACAAAATCATTATTAAAAATTAATGTTATCCTCCTGATGCCCCTGTCCATCTCACAGATGGTCATGTTTTAATTATCTCAAGAGGTAAAAGCAAGATTGGCATCCAAATTAATAGTTTATGACTTGTTTCTGTATTTTTTGGGTTGCCTGCTGCTGAGTGCTAATACTTGGTTTTCCCTTTCTATCTTAGTCATCTGGTTGTACATTTTTTTTTTAATGGCTTTTGCATTTTAGAGGGACTTGTTGGTTATAAATATTATGAGGAGTTAGGATGAAGCCATAATGTACATAGAAAGCATTTTGAAAGCTGTGCTTCTGAAAATTTTAACCTCCCTCTTGCTACACGTTGAGGTATTTTGTTAACATCAGGTTACTTGCTTATCAAAGTGTCATGTGGCTCATCCTGGCAGCATTTCACTAACAAGTAGTCTTAAAAAGAAAAGCAAGAGGCTAGAAAAAGCTCCAAGGTTCTTATCTTGTTTCTCTTGAACCACCTGCAGCGATCCATGGCTGGACAGTGTGTTGGGAATGCCCCCCTAGCCTATCTCCAGGACTTGGATGTCAAATGCCTCACCAATCTAGCATCCTACAAGGAGGGGCTGCCCCATGACGTGAGGATAAACAGTGGTGCTGGAGGTAGGGTGAGGAAATCCTCCCAGGAATGAGTGGTGGGGCTCTCAGAGCTGGGAACAGAACAAACTCCAGGGCTCTGGGCACAGGAGCTGTGTGTGCTGTCTTTGCTCTCTGGTGGCAGAGAGCCATTCAGCATTTAGGGATGTCCTGTTTCTGTTTCTGGTGAGCTCCCTGCAAGTGTCCTGCTATTTCCAAAGATCTGGGATATCAGAAATAGTGGGGTTTGCCTTTTGTTTCCTGTTATTTGTTTCTGGTGACTTGTACTGGTTGTGGCTACACACAACAGAACATCTCTCCCACTTTGTATTTTCAGACTGTTGCAGAGCCTTTTTCTGCTAAGAGGTGCAGTATCACCACTTTAGAATTAGTGAGAAGGGGTTACTTTCTGCATTACAAAAGCAAATACTTAGGAAATGTGCTTTTGGAATTTGAGATAATGTGATTACCAGCATGAGGATAATTTATTTTGCACAACATAATTGTCTAATTTTGTTCACCTGTATTACCTTTGTAAGAGACAGATAACTAGCCATGCTTTCAAAATAGAGAAGCTGTTTGGTCCTTTTCCAAAATTAATTTTCTAAATAATTTTCTACTCTAGTTTTGTAAAAACAAGGATTGTACCTTGAATTTTTCACATCATGTCTGTCTCTCTTGTATAAGTCAGAATGACTGCAGTGTTTGTTTTGTATTCTCAGACTTCATCCTACCAAATGTTGTCTATAGGAACATCACTGACAGGGACAAGTTCATCACTGGAAGTGGTATGTCCCTTCTATTTAACAAATATATTTCTTACCTGGATTATGTACGAAATAGATTATTTTGATGCCTAAAATGTTGACCTGCTGTAATTCTTTGGAGGGATCTTTTATATTATCCAGTGCTCAAAACGTAAACTGTCTGCCTCACTGTAAAGCAGGAAGTATTTAATTTGCCCAACTTCATTTAAAATTGGGTCCCTTAGCTTACCTTAAAAGTAATTTTTGAGAAGGAAAAAAAAACACCCAACCAAACCCAAAGATGTATAGAATGCTTGAAAGAAATCTCCAGGATGAACATGTAAGTGGGATGGGCAGACTGGAAGCAGCTGGATGTCTCTGTTTTGTAAACCCTTGAGCTCTCTGTAAGCTCCAAGGGCCTTTTTCAGCCACTGCAGCAGTTACTTGATGTAGAACAGTGGTTCCCAGTCAGTGGGAGGATAATGCAGCACAAATGTAACTAATGGAATCCAGGCTAATGTGTTTTTCTGGGCAGTGATGGCTCCCTGGCAGGGATGAGATGAAAGCAGGGAGAGTCCTGGGTCCAGAGAAATTCACCAGCTGGTGATGAGAAGCTGGGCTCTTCAGGGAAGGTTTTTGTCTCCAAAGGGATCTGAAACCACTGATGTTAGAATACTGATAAGCTTAGGGTGTTGAACTGTCACACTGTCCTAATAAGATGGCACTTAGACAGAAATAAACTCACAAAACGGTTAATGTTACAATATCCAGAACTTTACTAGTTTGTTAATGTATTCTTTTTTGGCTACAGTAACACAGCTTTTTAATTAGCTTTTCATTGTGGCCTTTCTTTTTTTCTTTCCTTCTGCCAGGAAGCCTTCATTCTGCTGAGGTTCTGTGTCAAAATGTAACTTTTGCAGAGCATTATACCTTCATTTGGGAAGAGGAGAACATAGAGCAAATCAATGTCACTGTCTTCCTTGGGAGTCTGTGTGATGGAGGTATCGTCACATTTCTTTTAGGTTTTTGTGATTTACTTTTTTCTTCAGCATGGAAATTCTGTGACAGGATCTCTTGGTTACTCAGACTTCTTAAAAACAATTTCCCCTGCACTCCAGAAAGAAAACTGAGGAGTCTGATTTCCATTAATTGTATTATTTTGAATCTTCTGTTACTAATGAAGGATGGAAGTTTGTGTCCTACACAGGGGACACTTTTTGCTTATTTACTTATTTCTTTTTTTTCACCAGAAATACTGACACAGAGATTCACAGTCAAATTCATAAGCTTAAAGAATGCTAATGCAACAGAACAGTTTGGGAACCCAGGTATTCCTATTTTATTTTGCCTCTTGAAAGTGAAAAGAAAAAAATGTGTGCTGTACAGATTATTACCAGTGACAATGTTTTATGTCTCTCTTTCCTATTTCTGGATGTTTCTATCCCCCACCTTCCTGTCCTGATGCTCTGCCAATTGTTGTATTGGTTCTTGGGCTTTTGTTTTCTGGGTATTAATTATTTAAACTGAGGGTATTCCTACTGCAATGGAAATGTCTGTTCATTTGTTTCAAGACTGATGACATTTATTATTTCAACAATGCTAGTGCTTCTAGATTCTTAGACAATGTTCACAATTTATCCTTGTATCTTTAGGTTATCAAGTTGGAAAACCAGTGAGAGCTGCAAATATGAATTCTTCTGATACATTTGGAAGCCTGAACATTTGGCAGCCAGGTACTGGCTTGTGAGGTTGCAGCTTCAACTGTAGTTAATGCTAAAATGTTGGAGGTTTTTTGGCTGTTTGTTTGTGTTTTTGTAGGTTTTTTAAAATGCATTTTAGTTAAGAATCTCTGCCAAATTGTATATTCTAGACTGTTCCCCAGCTTCTTTTCAAACTTCAGTGAGTCAGGCTCTAATGCTTTCTTGGAAAACTTAGGTTGAATGGACTTTTATCTGTATTTGAACTATACCACTTGGTATTTTGCATTCTAATGTTTGACATTTTTCACAAAATTGAAAGCTAGAGATGGAATTGTGGATACAGGAAAACTCAAGGGAGATGTTTTCATTTCACAGCTGGCAGAGGTTTATGTACGTCGGCAACTTACACACCAGTTCTGTTTGGACTAGATTCATTCTCTGGGTGCATTCTAGAAGTTGATATTGATGAAGATTGCAGCCTTTTAAGGTGAGCTATGTAGGTGGAATTGTTTTTTCCCTGTATCCCTCGCATTGCTTATTACATGATTCTCTACAAGTGCCCACTGTCAGCACTGCTAGGTTCTTGTTAAACATGAATTTATGCATTGCAGCTCTCTGGGATGGAGAGTTGCACCTTTTAAAATAAAGGGAAGTTACAAGAATGGTTTCACTCAGATCTCTCTAGTCAAAGGAGGACTGTGTTGGGGTGGAATGCTTTGCCATTTATTCTCTCCAGCTCAGTAGTTCAGCTTTGGTTTTGTTGAGTGATAACATTTTTCAGAGGACACTGACATTATGATACAATACCACTGCAGCCCAGAGTGGTAGCCAGTACAGATTTGCTTTTTGTGTAATCTTGCAGTTTTATGTTGCAGGGCAAATGTAACTGAGAAATTGAGTTCATTAATACAAGCTACTCATGTTGGAAAGAGGGACAACTCAAGTGCCAGTGACCTGAATGACTGGGTGGAAATCAGACGTAAGTGAGGTTTGTGGTGGTGTTTGTTGTCTAAATACACCCACACCCTGAATACAGCATCTCAAAATGAAACCAAAATGTAATTTTAAATGCTTCAATTTGAAATGTTAAAAAATAATATTTTCCATAATGTTTCCATTTAAATAACTTGTTCTCCTCTGTAGGTCTCGATCCATTTATTTCTGACACCAGTGGGAGCGCTGGAAGCTCCAAAGGCGTTTGTCCAGATATTCCTTCTAATCTGAATATCCGCATCATCTTTGCTGAAGTGGGTGCAGTACAAGGGATTCCCCAGCAGGAGATTCTTGCTGTGCAGATCAGGTAGAGAGAGTTGTGTCTCTGGCTATCTAAGAAATGCTTAATTTTGAGACTTTCTTACCTCATATCTCCAGATTACAATTTACAAGCAAAAACTTTATTTCTGATTTTTTTTTTTACATGACTTTTATTTATGTGACCTACGTTCCTTTGATTACAATCAGTTTGACCTTTCTTTCTCTGAAATTAAAATAATATTAATGGTTAAAAGGAGAGAATCTACTTCACTCAAACATGAAATCAAATCTCCAATGCAATCAGCAATAGGAATAAGCAGGACATTCCATCAGGAGAATGTTTTAATTTCTTGTCACATGGTGGAAGTGACAACATTGTCCTGTGTTCTGGCTTACCCCAATCTAGAATTCTTCTTGAGAGCTGTGGTAAATGCTTAATTTTCACTTTGCAAATCATTTTTTTTCCCCAAGTCAATCCCAATAAATTAAGTGGGATTCTGTTCCAGTTTATCTCACTTCCAGACTTTGAAAGTTCTCTCCCCGCATGGTGTCTAAAATCCAGAGATCATCAATCTCCTCCTAAATACTGTGTATTTTGTCTTTTCATAGTTCTCTTTAGACTCTAAATTTCCCTTTCCAGCCCTCAAGTAATAGTTATGCATGTTCTTACAGTTACTCAACAGTCAGATGGCAATTCCAGTGTGGGCTTACCTGTGAAAACAGCATCAGCTTTCTTCCCATCACTGCTTCTGTTCAGTTTATTAAAGTGCCAGCTCAGCCACCTGTTCCAATGACAAGGTAATTTGGGTAAAAACATGGATAAAATTTTCTATTGGTAAAAATGTGATCCTCCATCTGATGTTAAGCACATGTAATGTGTGTAGTGCTGATCAAAAGGTCACTTGGGTTTGGAGTGGTACAGACCAAGAAGGTTCAAAGATTTGCTGGGTAACAATTCTGAGAGTGGCAATTTTCCCCAGGAGCAGGAGGAACATGAAGGGCTGTAAATTCCCCCTGTCAAGTTTTGATTTGGTTTTAACTCTGTTCACTTGAGTGGATAAGGGTGCTGAATGAGGCTCCCAAGCTATCAGTTGCCTGCATCACAGGAAGAAACATCAGACTAAAAATGACAGATCTGGACTAGAGGAGAGGCTTCTGTTTTTATTAAAGAGAAAAGTTGTAAGAGAAGAGAGAGAAGCTTAGTTGTTTGGGTTTTTTTCCTGTAATCTGAACACCTTTTCACTCTGTTTTTTTCCACTTGTGCTGATATTCTGGAACTGTATATAATACACCTGTTTGGTTTTTTTTCCCTTCAGATTTCAGATTAATTACACAGAATTTGACTGCAACCGAAACGACGTGTGTTGGCCACAACTTCTTTATCCACTGACACGGTTTTACACAGGTAAAAGTGATAAACAATATGGAGTGCTGGGAACTGGCCTTGACTCTTTGAAACAGAATTTAGATGTGGGGAGGTTAGTCTGAACCAATGCTTTGTAGTAGGGAATCAAATCTTCTCCTTCTACAAAGCATGGTCCAAATAATCTGTTTAATTTTTTTTCCTTGATAATGCATTAATTTCCTTAGACTAGTGGAAAAAAACAAATTACTAAGAGTGCTTTCTGGATAGGCTTGAAATTTTGTGAGTATCTGTTTGGCAGAGAGAGGTTATTTTTCAATCCCCTGTAGATTGTGGAGAGTGGGACACATTCTAAGGCAAAGGAGAATATGTCACTTTATGATATTCCTCTGTTTCCATTTCCTCCTGTAGTTGTAGCATTTCCAGCCTGTGTCAGCACCTTGAAGGGTGGAGGGAGACTTTGTTTCTCACTTGGCCAGCCTGTGTTTTTCAGTCAGCCCACATCAGCTCCACTAAAAATTTGTTATATTGGTAGAAGACTTCATTTTTAAATTTCCTCTGTGTGAAAACTGTGGTGGATCATGTTTTGTGGGAGGCTCTGTAGTAATGTCTGGCATTTCAAAGGGCATCAAGGCACTTGGACTCTCTTCTGAGAGCTGCATGGCCAGAGCCAACTGCCCCTGTTTATCACCTGCACAGCTCCAGGGACTGAAGGCACAGAAAGTAGGGAGTTTTAGAAGTATGAAGCATCTTAATTCTTTGCTTTGTGCTGCATTATTTTATTCAGGCTGTACATATACTTTAATCTATATATTTTGAGTTGTTATCCTAACTCAGATTTCTCTCATTTACTTGATTTTTTTTTTTTTTTTTGCAGGAGAACCATATTCCCAGAGTCTTGCTAAGGGCCTCACACTGGTGTTTCTTGTTGTACTTGCAGCAATTATGAGTAACCCTTGGTTTTCTAAATTATGGAGTAATTCCTTGACTTAAAAACGTTGATGTAAAGAGAACCACTTTTGTTAATTCTGGGGTAAAAATTATGAATAAATATTCTTGGATTTTGTAGACATTTTTATATAAACACTTAAAGACACATAAAATGCTCTTGTGGTGTACAGAAAATGGTTTGTGTTATTTGAAAAAAAGCACGAACAAAGCAATTATTAAGTGAAGTCACGGCTTAACTTGAGCAGCGGGGTGGGGTGTCCACGGATGCACCTCTGTCCTGTCCAGCTGCTCCTCCTCTCCTGCTGGAGCAGGTCCAGCTGGCAGTTCCTTCCCACAGCAACCTACCTGTCCTGCCCACCTTGTTTTGGAGCAGCGGGGAGGTTGTTTACTCTTCTGAAGAGCAATAACGCTTCAGATATTTATAATTCTCTTTTCCAGCTACCTCTGTGCGCTGGTAAATAAACAAACCAACACTGGGCCGCCCGGGGCCACGTTCGGGCGCAGAGAAGCGATTTTCTTCAACTGACCCAACAACGAAGTTCAATTCGGGATGTTCTTACGGTCCGGATCTTGCTTTCTCTCATGCCTTCTGGGAACAGACAACCCCAGCATTAGCTCTGTGCCACCCAGCTGTGGTTCTCTCCATGAAGACCCAAACCCACTGCACCAGAAACCTGGCAGCAGCTGATCCAAACGGCTGTGCCTGTTGAGGGGAGTGGAATCCTTCCGTGCCGCTCCTGGAAGCTGCCCTGCCATGGAAGAAGCACATCACCTCAAGTTGTCCATCCAGAAGGCACAGCAGCCACTCCTTGGCATGCCAAGAAAACACTTGAACCTGGACTGGGATTGTTGGGGAGCTGAGGGGGCCGCGGGGGGAAGGCCCGGCCGGGCGGAGCAGCTGCCGTGGTTCGGTGTGAGGGCTCCCGAGATGCTGCTTTTCCTTCGCCTCCCGGCTCTGACGTGCAGACCGTGGGATAAGGGCTGTACCGCGGTTGCCTTTTCCATCGTTGGGCGATGGGAAGTCGGTGTGGAGCCCCAGCTCCCCCACAGCCCCGGGAGGCTGTTTTGAGGTGACTTCTCTCTCACAGAAGTGGTTAAACCTTAGGGGTTTTTAGCAGCCCTCCCACGAGGGCTCATTGCCCACCTGACTCCGGGCTGCACAGTTAAAAGGTTCGTCAGCCCTGTTGAAACATCTTAGCTGTTCTCTAGGTTTATTTCTTCAACGTTGCAGGCATTTATAAAACGTGTTTGTTCCCGGAGGAGCAATTCACCTTGGAGGAAACTACGTGCCTGACAATAAAATTGGGTTGGGTAATAATTAATTGTGTTTCTGTATTTCTCATCATAATTATATCATCTTTGCTTGCTGGCTGAGACTTTGGAGTTTATTACAAAGTATCTTTCAAAAATGTAGGTTGCAAAACCTTTGCAAAGAAAGCTGGGAGAACTTAAATTAACAGCTAGTGTTGGTAAATATGGCAGGTAGGAGGAGGTGAACCTGTAAGAATCATTACATGGGCGTTATGTTTGACATGTTGATGACATTCCAGGTGTCTGACACACCATTCATTCCAGAAATAATGTATTAGTGGGTCTGATTTAACAGCTGAGTAAGTAGTCAGAGAGAGTGCCCCCTTGTAATATGGGAAGGTATGGAAAAAGGCTCTTTCAACACTTAACATTTCAAATAGATTCTGTGGAAACCCATCACAAAAATTTCCTTGTAGAAGGGTTTTTTACTTCAAACTCCTCATGCTGTATCTTAAAACTCCAGAAATCAGACTGGGAATGGTTTCTCCAGTGGATTTTCTTATTGGGGTAAAACTAGCTAAAGGCATTGATCGTTTTGCTTTAATAAAACCCAGGTCCCTGTTTGACAACTTTTTCATCCTTTTGGGTTTTCATACCTTCTTAGCTGAAAGGACTTTGTGAAGAGGGAGCACGTAGAATACATGCAAAATTATCTCCATGAAGTCATGGAAATAGCTTGTGTTTTTAAGGGGTGTTGCTGTTTGAAATACCTAATGAGCATTTTGTTGTTCTTCTTCAGCTTAACCCAAATGTGAGCGTATTTCAGAGAAAATTTGTGAATGAAGTAAAAAAGTGTGAAGAAATGGAAAGAATACTTGGTGAGTTTTGCTTTCGTGTCTGCCCTTTCCTGTCTGTGGCTTTATTGGTTTGCATTGCTAGAGGGGAACCACAGTGGAGGTTTCAGTACAGCTCCTTTTTTAATCTTCCCAGTCTTGTATGATCTGTGTGCTGTAGAACCTTATAAAATGTTCATGTGTGTGAGAAAATACACATGTACACTCATATGTAGGGTCTTTATATTGATTTTTGGAGCTGGAGATGACTGGATTGGGTCAGAATGTTCAAGAATATTACTTAATTTAAGGATTGATGCTGGTGTTGATGCTGCAGCAGTTTTGAGTCTGTCACAGGGGTGTTTAGCTTAGGACCCTTTGAGATCACCCTGTCAACCTCCATCTCACACAGGGGCAGCTGGAGCAGGTTGTCCAGGACTGTGTCCAGTGGGATTTTGAGTATGGAGACTCCACAGCCTCTCTGGGCAACCTGTTCCAGTGTTTTACCACTGACCTTGGTTTCTCTCTTTAGTGAGTTGTAAAATTTATTTACACTACAACATGTAAGTGCTAAATATGGGTTGGGTTCTTTTAAGCTCAGAGATGAAGAACTGTTGCTAATGTATTGCTGATAAATAGGTGATACCATTTCAGTATTGATTGCTTAAAACTCTGCTAGGAAAATGGAAGCTTTACTCTGGGTGTTTCCTTCACTATAAGATAAACTCTTTTCTTCATGGTATGTAAATCAGTCCTGGTGAACTTCCCAGCACCCTCAAAAATGCCTCAAGTTATTAATAATAATATTCACATGGTAGTTAATGAATAGAGAAGAGTATGTAGAGCATTACAGCCAAGATACAGATTTTTTCAGTGTACCCTAAGGGAAATTTACTATTTGAGGGATTCTTTTTATTGGAATCTCTCATCAGAGGCATGTGCTGGTCATGCCAAACCATCCCAGCAGCTATTTGGGTAATCTCCCTACCCAGCTTGAGTTGCATTTGTTGTCAAGGTTGCTTAAACCTTTTTATTCCCAACACTTTGAACACTTGTTTGAACACACTTTATTGCATACATGGGTCAATGAGCAGAAAGACAATTTTTGGCAGAAGGTGTGATTAGCAGAAAGTGATACATTGCAGCAACAAAGAGATACTATGAAATGTTAAAAGCATTTTAAAAATTACTTGTGGTTGGAAAATTTCAGTCAGAGAACTCTGAAGATAGCTTACTTCTGCAGACTTCTAAGGCAGAAATGTTCTGTGTGGTTTGTTCCTAGTGCTCTGTCAGTCCCTCCCTTTCTTTTTGCCCTGAAGGGTCCAGTCTTCACCCTTCCCTTGCATTCTTTTTAAGACTCTAGTGTGTGTGTTGTTGCTAAAAGAAATGAGTAAAATAGCTAGGCCTGATGCTGCAACATCACTGATCAATACCAGCTAAAGGTCAACTCTGGTGCTTCCTTCCTGATGCTGTTTTTCTTCTTGCTCCAGGGTATTTAGTACAAGAAATTAAAAAAGCGGATATCCCACTTCCTGAAGGAGATGTTGCTCCTCCCGCCCCCTTAATGAAACACACCTTAGAAATTCAGGTAACTTCTCCACAACAGATGCCAAAAATGTAGCTCTGGACCTTGGAACTTTATTTCAAACTTAATTACTTGCTGTTTTATTACTTACGACTTCAGTTCTAGAGGTGACTTGGGGGAGCAGAGGCCTTTACTTTTGTTTTTCCCCAGGTTTTTTTTCTGCCAGTGAGGATGTGATGTAACAAAATCCCTGGGAAAGGGTCAGAGCTAACTTAGACGCTTTGCAGTCATCTGTTTTTTTTTTGTTTTTTTTGTGATGCCCTGGCATATTACACTGTTCCAGACCAACTGTTATGTATAAATAAAGTCTTCCAGCCTCATTGCTTTGGGACTTACCTAAGGCTCTTATCATGCATCCAAAATTTCCAGGATGTGTGGGAGTTTTTTATGCCCGTGGCTCTGCAGGTTCCAGTGCTGTTACATAGCAAAACACAGTACTGTTTGCTTTTTCTGGTATTGTGCTAGAGTAGGAGCTTGTCAAATGCAGACATAATTTTGAAAGACATTCTGTTTTGCTGTAATGATATTAATACAATAAATCAGTGTTTCTCTCTATACTACCTGAAGTTCTAATTTCAAGTCTGCATGACTTAGCTTGGACACAGATTAGGATCAGAACAGCAGACTTAATAGATGCTAGTGGAGGTTCAACTGTACTCAGTACAAAGCAGACTTGTCAGACTGGGAGTAAAACCTATGGAGCTTAAGTTAATTAAGAAACTGGGAAACTCCCATCATTGCAGCAAATAAACACGTGCTTAAAATTCATTTTCCTCTGATGTCCAAACAGTATTAACTGATTCTGTCATTTTTTCTCTGTGTCTTAGGAACAGCTGCAGAAGTTGGAGTCAGAATTGAGGGAAGTAACCAAAAACAAAGAAAAGTTGAGAAGAAACCTGCTTGAACTGACAGAGTACATGTGCATGTTGGAGGTCACACAAAGATTTGTCAGGAGAACAGCTGAGGTGCTGCTTGTGTTGCTTGGCAGGGATTGTGTGTCACGAGGCGTTTTTGGTGCGCACTGTTGGTAGTTGTGAGGTGTGTGCCTTGGTGTGGGGCTTCAGGGCCCCCCGGGCTGTTTGTTACTGCTTGTGCTCAATGCCTGAGAGCCTGGCTGGGCCCCCTGTGTGTTGGGTCTATGGGCACAGCAAAGTGCAGCCCTGAACTTAGGGTTTGTGATTTCTTGGTGGAAATGTTGGAATGTTACTGCTGATGGCAACTGAAAATGAAGGTGTTTTTGTGTTATTTTGGTGCATAAATTGTGCAAAGAAATTTACCATGTAACCATTGCAAAACTGACTATGGAATCATGGAGTGGTTTGGGTTGGAAGGGACCTCAAAGATCATCTAAATCCAACCCCCTGCATGGATGG